TGGCTCTGACTGGACACAACGGTCACAGATCAAATATATTCATGTTGATAAATCGTGAATTAACTCTAAGAACAGCTTCCCAAGAACCACAAACTTTGGTTGTCTTTGCAGTGCTAGAGTCATGGCCCTAAGGCCTGCTGCTGGGTCCACTGATCCATCTCTGTGGTCCAGACTGAGCTAGAACTTCTCATTAATGACCATGAAGCTTTCTTGTCTTAATCTTCATAACTTCACTAACTTGTCCTATAATGTCACCGTGATGTAGACGTTTGTGTTTTCTGTGAGGTTCCATGACCACTGGTGGATAGACGACCATGAAACTGGGTTATAGACCATAAACTGCTCATAAAGGTGGATGACGTGACAGCTCCCGCAGAGTGAAACTGAAATCATGTGGAAATAAATTCAGGCATCCTGTGCTGATAACGTCATGTCTGTGCAATAGTGACGGAAATATCAGACGATATGTGACTGACAGACTGCAGTTGTTCATCATTTTTATTTAAAAAAATGTAAAGTATATAACAAGTGTTCACGACAGTCCAAGACTGTGAAAACCTGGCAGGTGGTCGACATGGAGCGTGTCAGCATTGACGCTGTGAGACACTTCAGTAGAGGTGCAAAATACTACTCAAGTAGTAGTCCATCCATCCATCATCTCTACACCTTAATCCTCACTAGGGGGGCGGAGTCTATCCCAGCTGACTCAGGGTGAAGGCAGGTTCACCTGGACAGGTAACCAGTCTATCACAGGGCTACACTTAGAGACAGACAACCAAGCACACTCACATTCACACCTACGGACAATTTACAATCACCAATTAACCTCAGCATGTTTCTGGACTGTGGGAGGAAGCCGGAGAACCCGGAGAGAACCCACGCTGCACGGGGAGAACATGGAGACTCCACGCAGGAAGATCCCGGGTGTCCTCACCGGGACGCCGACCGGAGACCTTCTAGCTGAGAGGCCACGGTGCTAACCACTGAGACACCTGCAGCCCCTCAAGTGATAGTGCAAAACATTTTTTAGGAAAATGTAATGAAAGTGTCCCAACAAGCTTTATCCTGCCCTTTTCTTTCATTAGAACGTAGGAGAAGTTTAGGGCAGGAAGGTCTTTGGTCACGACTCCATTCTTGTTTCAGGTCAAAAGCCAACATGGCTTGAAAATCAGTTTTTACATCTTGGAGCAATACGTTGTAGAACTTTAGCATATTTCTTTAATATAAAGTCTGATCTGAAAAACAAGTAGTGACTTTATTTCATCCAGTGAACTTAGTGAAAAGTTCAATGTTTTGTTCTAAAATGCAGTAAAGTACGAGTATGAAGCATCAGGACAGTGAAGTACAGCGACCACACAAGCACTGCAGTAAACGTGCTTCATTACGTTCTACTAATGCTGATGGTGGCATAAAGCAGGCAGAGGCTCACACAGCTGGCTGTTTCCTTCACGCTAAACTCATCATCCAGACTAGTTCTGCTGGACAGGATCCCACCTCCAGTAACGATGGAAGGAACCAGACCAGTAGTGCAGAAGTTCATAAATACCTCTTTGGTCTTATACAAAGTAGGAAAGACAGATTGCTGTGATCCTTATTTTCCTCGAGGCTGCGTTTACGAGTCATCTGCAGGGGGATAGCTGTCTGCACAATTTAGTTCTGACAAACCCTGTTTTCTAGCGCTGCTCTGCTTATCTAACAGCACGGTGAAGAGTTTTTCCTTCGTTCTGTCCTGAAACAGACAGGCTTTGTATGTTTTTCCACATGATGTCTAAGTTTGTTGCAAGAGCAGTGATCCCAGGAAAGCAAAACAATCCTTCTTGTCTCCTCAGCCATAGTTGGTCATTGGACAGCTGTCCGTTTTCCTACAGTTTAGGTCCAGACTCGTAATCCCTTGCAGTGAAATGGGAGAAAGCCTTTCTGCCTCCACGGCTTCACTCTAAAGTTTGCTTTATTGCTTTAACTGGCTGCTCTGTTTAGAGAAAAGCTTTTAGTTGTGCATGCAGTGCAAAACATTTATGGGTTGGCCTGTTCTGATAGTGAGCAACAAGGAGGTAATTAGGTCATTTGCTGTCATGCTCGTTTGTGTTGGAGAAGCAACACAGCCACAGAAGAGAACATTATTGTTCTGTGAAGGCCCTGTTCTCTGCTGCCCCTCCATTAGCAAGTGTCTCTGACCAGAGACCGCTTCAGAAACACTTCCATGTGGTTCTCTCACTGGAACAACCACATCGCTCCCACAGTGTCTGTTCAGTGGACCTCTGGAGCACATAAATACCTCCGCCTGCAATCACTGTGTTGTGAAAGCAGCAGTTCTTCAGTGTGTGTAAACAGTTGCAGATTTGACCTAATGAGATGTGGCAAATAGGGCAGAAGAGGAAAAGGTTATCAGGTGGACACAGGAGGCTGAGATCAACCAGGTCATGAAGCACTGGAGTCCATGAGACACCATCAGCTGCTGAGAAATGCAGTCCTCAAGTTTCACTGTCACTGGAAGTGGAGTTTGACAATATAGCCATTGTTTCCTGATGGAAACTCCCTCTGAGCTGGAACTAACTGCATATGTGCAGAGATAACTTCATGCCAGCCCCCTCGGCTCGGTGATGTGCTGTATCCAATGTGAAACACGCTCCATGGATCGAACTTTGCCGCAGCGTGTAAATAACGGACAGAAGTTGTTCAACACTACGGTTTGAAAGCCTTTTGCGATTGTGTTTTGACTCACAAAGAGAGGGCTGCTCTCAAGACAAACAGCTGAGTGGGTCGGAGGTGGACTGAGGTGGTGTTTCAGGGCTAGTCCTGGTACGATCGTCCAGTTTGGGAGCTAATGCAGCAACAAAGAAAATCTCAGCGTGTCAAAACGTCACCTACAACATGAAAGTACGTGGACGTGCTTTTGTTTGTTTGTGTTGAAAAACAAATTGATCCTGATAATCAAAAAAAACAAAACAAAAAGCTGAATATCAGCTCCATCGTTTGCAGATAACTGGTTGACCTGTGATTAAAAAATAAAAATAAAAAAATGGGTAATTCCAGCTCCAATCATCACATTTTTAGAACAATTGCTGCACAACCATCTGTGGTTTACCTAAAACTTCTACAGCATGAAATACAGACGTTAATACAGATTCAGGGATTATTCGTGGATTATTCTATTTAATTCTATTCTATTGATTTGTAATCTGTAACATGAGGCAAGCAGATCAAATATTCTCTGATTGAGGGTGAATTGAAATGTGGAAGAAGAAAAAACAAGTTTAAACTGATGTGAAACGTCTCATCTTTGAACACAGTAACAAAAAAACGTTATGCAGAAGCCAACCAGTGATTTTTGTCATTATTGTTATTTTCTGAACCAGTGAATGATAGAAAAGTACAAACTATAGAATACTTGGATATGAAAAACCTCTTCTTCCTCTGCGGTTCTTGGTGTCGCCGTGCTGTGTTTTCTTCTTCAGGTTTTTGCTGATTCCAGACCAGTGAGCTCTGGTTCTCTGTCCATCTGCTTCAGGCGCCAACGTGACAGCGTGTCTTCACACCGTCTCACGATTGTTGAAAGATAAATCGGCTGACTTTACAGTTCATACACTAAACATGTGTTCAGCCATCCAGGGCGAGTTCAGGATTTCTTTCCATACATCATGATTTTAATTCTAAGATTTTTTTCATGTATTTGAGAATCGGCTGTAAGAAGCAAACGACTATGATGAAATTCAACAACACTGTCAGTGTTGAAGACACGTTGTGTAGACGCTGGTGGTCTAATCATGACTTCCAAAGCTGTAGTTTAGGATGGAGCTGTTGGGTAACGGGCAGCAGGGGTTGATGGTACAAGACACCACTTTGGTCATTTTCTTTATATTAAGAATATCCTATAAAGCGGCTCAGAGGATCTGAATCTAAGTGTGGCCCGGCTTGACTTTATTTCATGGTTTCTCTCGCGCACCCTGCTTGACTGAAAACATACAAGTGTTGCACTGATGAAGCTGATCCTGAGTCCAAAACTGGACAAATCTACATGTTACAGATAGAAACATGTAAATTATAAATGGAATACATCTGTTGCATCTGTAAATAATAATGTTTGTATTTTATTCTGTATGCACAAAACCATCCATTAGAGCAAAGTGTCACCATGAGACCGATGTTATTGCCTCCTTATCAGCAGCTCAGTCGACTTTATCAGACTTTGATCTGTGCTTGTTTACCGTTCGGGCTTGAGCTGAACTTTTCCTTCATCGCTGCGATGGGGGTGAAGCTGCTGAAGACGACCACCGCCAGCAGCTTGTTCCTCCACACAGCTGTCCATATGTGTCTGTTTAGTGGTTTCCTCTAAGCAGATGGTAGCGGTGCCAGCGCTCCCAGCTTCTTGCCCGTTTCCTCATCTATATTTCATCAAGATGTGGGCGGTCAGCGCCGTTCACTTGGAACTCATGAGTATAATCATCTTAGCATCCATTTATTTTCAGAAGCTTCCTGCCAGTGGACCGTGTTTGAATGTGCGCCGCTGTCCTCTGAGTGATTTCGCTGTTTTCATGTCGTATCGGTCATTCCTGTGATTAAAATGCTCTGTGTGTGTGAACAGGGCTGGTCTCTGCTCAGTAAAAATATCTCCAAGTAAAAGCAATATGGAGGAACTGAAACCTGATATTTCCAATATTGTGTTGAAATTTCACTGTGAGTAGCTTCGAGGTAATAAAAGAGTTTTCCTTTGTTTTGGATGTCCTGCCAGCGCTCTGAAAGCTGCAGCATGTTGACTCAAACAGTCACGGCAGTATTATGAGATGAAATGAGAAGTTTCTGCTGCTTTGTTTTATGCACATCTCTGACAAACGCTGGCTCATGAACAGAGTTTCAATTGATGGTTTTTTGTGGGTTTCGTGCACATCGCAGCGCCTGTTCAGACACACGTTTCTCTTCATCACCACTGTCTGATTGTGTGTCTTCTGCTGAGCTAAAGAAATGCTTCGCTAACATTCAGACCTCTCTCTTGTGTCTTTCAGTTGTCCCTGGGGGATGAACAGTGTGAAGTGACCCGGAATGGCTATGAGTCTAAGGAGCTGGTGTACTTAGTTCATATTTACTGCCAGGTAAGATGGCGCGCTCCGTGGTGCACGTACGCATACAGTTATCTAACCTCCCACAAGCTCGTGTATACTTATATATAATTACATACGAGCTCCCACATAGATTCCACTTCATCTGAAAACACACACACATTTGTATTCATAACTTTACTCTTAGAAGTTTTCCTGTCCAAATGATGTTCAGTACAACTGGCTCAGCCTTCCTCTGAAGCGTCCACCGTATTGATTCAAAAATCTAAGTTATGTAGGAAATGAAAAGAAGCGTGGATGAATGCCAGGATGGGTGAAGAATGCTGGATAGAAAGGGCTTCATAGCTGAAATCCTTCAAGTCCTGCAGCTCTTTCTGAGTCCTGTGCACTCATTGTGGCATATTTCAGGATATAACCTGGGCTGAATTATCTGCTTTAATTGCTCGAGCTCTCAGAAAATATGTTGCAATGTTTTCTTTTTAAATGTTGGTGGGATTCCTGACATATTGAGTCACTCTTTGCAGCGGTTATTGGAGTTAGCTTCCACAGACCAGCGCTTTTCTGACAGTCAGCAGAGGTCCTGTAGAGGAGATGCAGGATAAAGTTGACAGCGTTGTGTTACGTACCTGTAGCTGTGCATTCATTGTTTAGTTTTATTGTAGAGGCTTTGTAAGAGCAGTGAAAGTGAGCTTCTGCTAAAATCTTTAATGTCAGAGTGAAGTGAGAGCTGTTATTTAGGATTACATCATATACGAGGTTCTGCAAGAAGTTTCATTAACGCAGAGCCTCTCAGTAGAAGACACACATGCACACCAGCTGCTCAGAGGTTTTGCCCGAGTCTCCCCCAATGACATTTCTGATCCTGGTTTCAAGCGTTTCCCTGCACAGATCATCTTCCATTTGCACAGCCTTGGCAATGCCACACAAGTATGTGGCTGCGCACTTGGAAATTCCAGCTTCTTACAGACAGCGGAAAACTGCAAAATCCACACGAGTTCCATCTGAGAAAGAAAAAAAAGACTGGCAACGACATGGCCTTGAGTTCTGCATTCAGAACTTTAAACAGAGAAAGTAGCACAGCGTGGAGAGATTGGTGGAGTTCCACAGACCCAGAAAGGAGGGGCAACTAGGAGCAGCGTCTGAAAGTGGGGCAGGAAAGCATAAAGAGTTCCCCGAGCCCACAGAGCCCTCCCAGTGGTGTCTCTCCCAGCCAGCACTTTTAAAACAGCACCAGAATCAGTGGGCTGAGTGCTGCACTGCAGTCCCAGTCGCACAAGCCTGGCCTCAGTACAGACGCAGCTTTCTAGGGCAAATCAAAGCAAAAGACTTTTTCCACCACTAGTTTCTCTCAGTGGGGTTTTGAGGTTTGGAGCCTCGTCTTGCTGGATAAAAAGAAACAACAAATCCATGGAATCACTCTTAGATTTTTTTTCAAAAACAACATTTAACGTGGTGGATGGAGGGCAGAATCCTCTGGGTTTGCACTGTTGGCGTTTATTGGTTGTATTTCACTAGACGGGCCGAGTGCGCCGCTGATGTTCTTTGTTTACGAAGACATTTACAATATCAGAATACACGAGTCCATCAGAGACGTGAGTCCTGTTTCATATTTGTCTCTGCGTACGACGGTACCTTTGTATTAAAAGCCTGAACAGAGAAGCGTCTGTGGGGACACAAGCAGAAGAAATGACTGCAAGAAAAAAGGCTGAACAGAGGAGTCACAGCGGTGTGGGCTGGTCCAGGTTTGTGGGACTGTGTACGCTGACACCGTGGCTCTTCCTCTAATGTTTTCCACAAACTCCTGGCAGCACAGGTTTCAGGTGTCGCTGTTTGACCTTGAGCTGTGGATGAGACCAGACTACCTGGACGACCTGCTGTGGGCGCTGTGGTAGAATACAACACAGGATCCGAGACCGGAACCAAAACGGTTGCATGTACAACCTTGTTTATAGAGTGTGGAAGTTTAAAGTTCATGTGATCGCGTGTAAGGGGGTCATTAAGCTGTTTTGGTTTCCCTCCGGCCAGCACGGTGAGCTGCTGCGTTGGCTGGAGGTAGAACACGTTCTGCTTCACTGGTTCAGTCTGTCCCTGCCTGAAATGGGACACAATCCATTGTGCTGTTACTGTCCTCTGATGATGAAGCAATCTGCAGCTGATTGTTTTTAAATAAGGAGAGAGAGGAAGATGCTGGTGGAAAGTAGACGTCTATAAGAAATGACCCGACTTCTCACTTCCATCTGTAAACCTCATGGGTTTGTGGTCTCAGTCAACAGTTTCAAGACTTTCTGGACACAGTCTGGTGTGTGATGATAAGTTCTGGTCCCATTTAGAGTAAAACAACCCATACAGCAGGGTGTGTTTTAGGGTGGTGTTACCTTGTGTTGTGTCCTTTGGGTCACTGTCAGATTATTTAAGTCAGGTTTCAGAAGACCACGATGGCAGTGGCCAAGTTTCCAAAGTCAGTGCTTCAAAACAGTCGTCCACAAACCAGTGGATGGAGGCTCCGTCCATCTTTTACATCTGGTCTTTGGCGGTTGTAGGTATTTTTACCGTATTAATGTTGTTATCTGTAAAGTCCAGTGCTGCGTTCGTGGTGCCCTAAACGCTCCCCTTCATCCACCAGCTAGAGCCCAACGGTGTGTCCTCTGTTTGATGTTGAGCAGGTAGCGTACGGAGGGTTTATCAGAGCTCCTCTGCTGAACACGGCTGCCTGCTGTGGTTGACAACAAGGTCGGTGGTGGAGGTGAAACAAACCCCAAAGTTCTGGACGTACAAACAGGACAGTGAGCTGTTAGACACTAAACGGCTCCACAGAGCAGAGGGAAGCTGTGGAGCTGCAGCTTTATGTCCTCTGCACGGCAACAGAAGACCCAACGTTAAGAACGGACCCGTCCAGCACAGCACTGAACCTGATTCATGTAAAGAAAAACTGTTTCCACAATTAAAAGGTCCAACGTAGGCCAGGTTTTCAGATTGATAAATGACTATTTTCTTTCTTCTTCTACCCATTATTGGTTTAATTCATTCATTTATTCACATCCTCAAACCTGTGTTTAAGCCTGAATTACTGAGGATCCCTCCTCTGACCTGGAGCTCTGAAGGAAGATCCAGAGTCCACATGGTATGAGGACAGTACTCATGACACTGGGGGGGAAAAAGGCCAGTTTGAAATCATTACAACCAATCATTTGGTATCTCCAGGTAACCCAGCTGCCTTTTTAAATGCTAAAGTAACCTTGTGTGGTAGTACAGCCAAACAAAGCATCTCGATTCAGAACACTCCCACACAGATCCAGTCAGCTGATGGCCATGTTGTAGTGAAATGAATGGTGTGTAATTACTGCCTGCAAGTTTGGAAAATACATTCATCAGACTTAAACTTTGATCTGTACTTTAGAAACACAGCGACGTAAAATATTCAGCTGTGGAGAATGGGCAGAGTCCTTAAAGCTGAAGTCTGAGACCCTGGAGACAGGTTGTTGGTATTTAGCTCACTAGCATGTTCACATAGATGACATGCCAGATGTACTGGAACAGTTCAGGCTGTTTGTTGATTGTATATCACATCATCACGTTTCCATGTTTCTCTTGTCTTCTGTGGGTTGTTGGGTTCTTTTAGATGATTTTAATCAGTTGCTCCTTTTCCAGGTGACCCAGACATCTCCAGGAAACGTGGAGCATTCCTCTGTGTGCTGGTTTTGTTGTTCTGCTCACCTAGCTGGAGACATGCAGCTCTTTAATCAACCGGTGATGTGCTCTCTGTGGTTCTGAAGGGTCGGAGCTGGATTGTGAAGCGTAGCTATGAGGATTTCCGTGTCCTGGACAAACACCTGCACCTCTGCATCTACGACCGACGCTTCTCACAGCTGCCTGAGCTGCCTCGATTGGACAGTCTGACCGATCAGTCAGAGGTGAGCACAAACATTTCACCGCATGTCTTTTTCCACACTATAGCCTGAAACGAATGCTGGCCATATTTAAAAAGACTTAATAAAAGACTATTTTCCACATTACGTTTGGGTTCAGGGAACCTCACGTTGCTTAAATCTTACACTGCTGTGTTTGTGCACTTACTGATCTATCCGGTGCTGAGAAAGCCCTTAAGTGTAATAAATGGTAGCGTTTGCAGGCAGTGTGCTTGTAAAACAGGCAGATAACAAGGCATCCAGCAGCAGCTCCACTCACTGTGTTGTGCTGTTCAGTATGACCTGCATGGCTTTTGTCTTGGGAATGCACAACTTGATATTTTACCAGTTATTCCTTCTTCCACCCACCTGTGAGATGTATTTTGAGACAGACAAAAGCATAGCGGTCAGATTGAGGCTCTGAAAAGAATGCAGTTATCAAACCAAACTGGTCAGACCGGTTTGTCACTGGGAGCGTATTGTGTGGATGAAGGCTTTCAGAATAACAGCTTCACAAAGCGGTCCGCAGGAGGACACTGGAACACTTCCACCTGTTGCTGCATAACATACGTTTCATGTTTTTGTTGTTAATGTGGAACCTGAGGTTGGTCAGAAGGTGATGATGTTTGTATAGATTTAAATAAGAGAGCAGTTTATTACTGTCAGCATCAGACTGGTGTTCACATTTCTGACACCAGTAACCATGAAACAGAATTTCCTCTGTAATATGAAGTCATAGCTGCAAATGTTATTTCAAGTGATTGACTGCAGTCCTGCACTGGTAAAGGATTATAATGAGCTGCCTTTGTCCATCCACAAACACACGACGACAGAAACCAGCCTGTAAAGGAGATGATTAAATGGTTTGATGGGATCTGTAGTGACATGGGAACAGCTGAGTTAAACATCTGGTGAATTAGTATTAAATGTAAAATACATGTAATGAGTGACTGCTTTGTGTTTTCTTCCATGTTAGTCCGTTTCCCAGATGTTGTTGGCTTACCTCTCCCGGCTCTCAGCTATCGCTGACAACAAGATCAACTGTGGGCCCGCCCTCACATGGATGGAGGTAACTCGTCCTCTGTCTTTAAGGAGAACGCTGGATGTTTGGGGGAAAAAAAACAAAATGTTTTCAGTAGATTTGAGAGATTTTTGCCAAAAGTTGACGGTTTTGTTTTAGATTACCTATTTTTTAAAATACAAATAGCACATATGTCCATTTGAAGTCGTTGTTGGTGACTTTTAAACGCTGCTGAACATTGTGAATGAGGAAGAACAGCGTGATGTTATGTTCAGCTCCAGTGTGACGGCTTTAGGACTCATTCACAGAGGCCATGCAGAGGTCAGTGTCTGGATTACAGAGCGCTGTTCTCAGTTATGTAATGCAGCAAAGAGAAATGCCTAAAAAACATCCTGATGGCATTAAAAACTACAAACCTGCATCAATACAGAAGCTAAAATAGACCAACAGTGACTGAAGAGGAAACAAACCAGAGAGCTGCTCTCCTATAAAATGACCGACTTACTGTAGACATACACCACCAGTAGCTCTACTGTGGGAGTCTTATCAGATATAAACACCCAGTCAGCCCAACGATTCATTCATTTTTCTCAATTCTAAAAACTCATCAGTGAGCTGGTTAACAAGGAGCTGCTGAACGTACTATGACATGACCGTGTGTCTTTACCTTTACCTATCGGGCTCCTCCCAGTCATTCATTAGGGGATGGCTGCTACGCTTAACATGACATGTAGTGTGTGTGTGTGTGTGTGTTCACCAGGTTGACAATAAAGGGAATCATCTGCTGGTCCACGAAGAGTCGTCCATCAACGTGCCGGCTATCGCTGCTGCCCACGTCATCAAGCGCTACATCGCCCAGGCCTCAGACGAGCTGTCCTTCGAGGTGACAGCCGCTGTAGTTTATTTATTTATCATTACTTTTTATAGGAACAAGTACACGGCAGGAATCATGCAGCAGCATTTATAGAAAGTTCAAGTCAGGACATCCCGGTTGTTTCTGTTTCACTCTCAGTCTTAGTAACTTAGTGCAGTGTCTAGTTTTCCACCTGTCTTTCTGGAAACCTGAGGCGTTTATGCTGCAGACGAATCACCAGCCGCTACAGCAGCACTCAACTTTCTCCCTGAACGGTTTCAACAAGGATTTTGGTTATTTGGTTTAGTAAACAGTTTTACATGTTGATTTCCAAAACAAAAAAAGCTGCCAGTCCAAATCCTGACTTGCAGAAAGGAGCCCCTTGCATCCCCAGTAGACCTGTGTTGTGTTACTGAACCAGAAACCCTGAGAGGAACCACCAGCTCACAGCTACTGAGGCATTTGTAGATGATTAATATTCATTTAAGCACATTTCTCTCTTCTTCTGTCTCTAAATATGCAGTGTTAGCTCTGCACAGATCTGTTTTCGCTTGACGCATGAAGATTTTCTAACACTGAATGCGTCTGCTGACAGATAGTGATGAAAGGAAAAAGAGCTGCAGGAGTAATAAAGATGTCTGCTTCAATATGAATGTGAGGTGTGAGCAAACATGGCAGCTGACTGCGTTTGTTCTGGATGAGCTTCCCTGCTCAGAAGAATCCTTTTCAAAAATTCTGCTTTCAGATTTGAAAGTTAAAGATTCACCTGGTGTCAGTTTTAGCAATCACGGCTGTCGTCTATCGACAATCAGACGGTGCTTTAATCTTCTCTCTCTGCAGGTCGGCGACATCGTGTCAGTGATTGACATGCCCCCTAAAGAAGACACCACGTGGTGGAGGGGAAAGCATGGCTTCCAGGTACGCAGCCTGCAGGCACAAGCACACACCAACACATCACACACCGGCCGTCTGACTTCTGATTAGATTCGTTCTTGACGTTTTTCAAGGACGAAGAGAGGATGTTGCTTTGTAAAGCAGATTTCAAACACTCTGAGTTTGCTGAAAGACAAAGCGAGATACAAATCCTCCTTCATGTGAGGCTCTTGGGCAGATTATAGGGTGTGCCTGCTCCCCCCCTCAGCTCATTCCTACAGTCATGGAAACTGGTGCCGCTCAGGACTTCTGTTACAATTCACCGCAATCCTTTCAATGTCAACTCAACAGATCGTGGTTTCTAAGCGTTTTATTTTCTTCTGACACTTCAGACTGTAGGTGACATAGAGGAAAAAAATCAAATCAAGGTAGCACAGTTTTCAACACGAGTCCTGTTAGCAGCGATACAGAAAGAAAGCTTAAAGGAAGAAATGCACGTTGTTTTGAAATGGAGGTTAATAATAATGAAGGAAGGCAGTGTGTCCACTCTGCATGAGCCACACCCAGATAAGTGTATACAAAACACTGGGCAGACGTGCTCAGGGGGCGTTGAGGCAGAAAACAGGCGTGCATTAAAGCAGCACAGGGGGCTGGTGCTGTTCTATGAGCTGGTGAGACGGTGAAATACGATCCAGGAAACTCAGTTGGAGTAAAAGATTAATGCACTTAAAGGCTTATAACACACCAGAGCGCCGTACGGCACTCTGTAACGCTCTCACACAGGGTTTTACTACGACAACAGCAGCTATTATCTGTGATCACAGCGAGTCCACGGTAAACAGTGGAGATGTGGTGTTTACATTAGAAAGCAGTAAACCAGGAACGGGCCTCACTACGTCTAGCTCCTGCTTGGATGATGTTGCGTTACGCTGAGCTTGACCTTTTCCTGACGAGCCCGTGCCCTGCTGTTAGATCCCTGACGCTATCGCCCGGTGTCTGTCTGGCTCCGTTCTAACGAATAAGAGGGACTGTGGTTCTTCAAATCGCTCTGAACCTGCCACAGACTTTTGCATCCTTCTTCGGGCGCTCTGCTCCGTCACAGGAGTGTGTGCGAGGCGTGCATCGCCACATTTTGCAGGTGCATTGACTAATTATGTAAACGAGAGGAGGGAATACGGCAACAGGTTGAATATTTACTCTGCTGGATTTAGTAAGTCACACAGTTTGCAACAGTCGGTCTTGTTGTCAGCGTCTCAGGACTGAGAGTAAACACAGCGCAGATGGGTTTATGCTACACCAAGCAGAGGGTTTTAGTGATGAGCAAAAACATTCATTAAATATAGACCTGTACGGTACAGACAGGTAATTAAAACTGGAAAAATAAATATTAATGAACACAATATGTGATTTCTCTCAAAGCCACAGTGGTTGTGTTTATGGATGGATCTGTCTTTTAGCGCCCACATGTGCATTTAAACGGATCTCTTATATATTCCAAAGTTTATGTGAAGTTCCCTCTTTGTGTTGGCGTCCTTCCTCTACAGCACAGAAACAGTCCAAGGAAACAAAGAGAGATCTGTACTCACAGGACTGAACCCAGTTAAGATACCACACCTGACCTTTTAGTTTACTATCAATCCTTCTGCACTGATAGTCAGACATAAAGATCACATTGTGCTTGATGGATAATGTGAGAAATGCAGCCGTGTCGGAACATCTTAAGTTGCATTCGATAGGAAATGAATTCCAGATGATTTCATTATCATTCGTACCTGACTGCAGACACGTTCTGCTCCTGAGCTGTGCATCAGCAGGTCAGTCCAGCAGCTGAATGCACAATGAGTCTGAATACATCAGGAGTTACACACACAGACTGCAGCCAATGAAAAACATGCACACGTTTGCATAAATTGAAAGAAAACTGGGCCCTGTGTGTTCTGAGGCACTAAGCAGGAGCAGGAATAACTGCAGCTGTTGAAGAGGTGTCTGTGGTTTAGATCCAGTGCAGCTCTAGAGCCGGGGTTGGAGCCCTAAACCTCCTCTGACCCGCTGCCCTCTGCCTTGTGTGTTTTGGCTCTCTGCCAGCAGCATGTAGTCATGTCATACCTCCTCGGTGGCATGATGGCAGCCAGCAGCCTCTCACTGATGCCTCCGGTTGTGTTTCAGCGGCTGCAGACAGTTGGCCCGCTCTGGTTTACACAGCTTGTTCTTCTGGACGCATAAGGATGTGCAAAGCCTGTTCTCCGCTGATAGGAACCATTCCTGGGGACCAAACGTCTGTGTCCAACAGACCTGCACTTTCTAAATTAACACTAAAGGCAAAGTGGAACTCAAATGTGGGATGTGTCCCGCTGATGCAGCACCGCGGCAGTACCGCCTCTCTCCAGCAGGGGGTAGTCAGTCAGTGATGCCAGAGGGGGTGGGGGTGTGTTTTTACCACTGTCCTATCATGAGCAGTGTCAGTTTTAAATCCTTAAAGGCACAACACAGCTGCATCACAGAGCTTTACTCATCATGAACTTTTACCCTCTTTGTAATGTAATAAACACACATATATACACGCAATGCAGGAAACACAGCCGCCCACATTCACTAACTTCTAGTAGGTATCAGCCTTCTACCACATTATCAACCTTCTACCACATTATCAACCTTCTGCCTCACTATGTCAACTCTGATCAAAGAGACAGAAATAATCTGAGGCATTAGCAATGAAATAAAAACATCTACAATAGTAATAAAGTGGGTAAACTAAGCTACAAATCACAGGATTGTTGTGGCAGCCACACCTCAGTCCAGATACTTTCTCAGTCTGTGTTTTATCATCTAAAAGTTGATCTTCTCTAACTGCTGTGCTCTCTGCAGGTTGGCTTCTTTCCCAGCGAGTGTGTGGAGCTCATAAATGATAAAGTGCCGCAGTCCATGACCAACTCTGTGCCAAAGCCAGGTACCGCTCCTCCTCCTCCTCCTCCTCCTCCGCTCACACCATTCACAGGAACTGTGTTAGAAGGCAGTTATCAGCGATGGCAGTTATCGTCTTTCTGATACGGTCGTGTTTTCAGGAAGTGTTTGGGTCTGTGATGGACGATGTGGTTGGAGATATGTGCGGGTGCACATGTGCTTGCTAGTCTAACAGACTTTTTTTGAATGAGGAAATTCAGCGTTCGTTCAGAATTTAACATTCACTTCATTAGATATGTTCTGTAGTGTCAGGTCCACCCTACAAATTAAACTGACTATGCAGAGCCCCTAGAGAGGTCTCCATCTGTTTAAGAACAGATTTATTGAACATAATCATCACTATAAAGATGATTCTGTCTCTGAGCATGTTAGCGTGGAAGGAAATCCATAATGCTGACACATCATCAGCTGAAATATCCTGCTAATCATGTTATATTGACTCAGCAGTATGCAAATCCGTTGCAAATAAGTGTGCTAATCTATAACAGATAAGCTCTCTAGCTCGCTCTGAAGAGTGTCAAAGACAAATACATGACATAAACCCTCTGGGAATCAAAGAGAACACTAAACAGCTTTTGACGGCTCAGTTGGAGGCTTTGAGTTGAATGTGAACTTCGTCCTCACACTCTGAGTTAAACACTGCAGCTGCCATCAAACGTCGCTTCATGCTGCTGTGATCGAGCCCGTCTATGACCAAACCTCCGTGTCTTGTACAAATCCACGTCACGACTTCCAAATCCAAACACTGATTCAACCAGTATGACTCAGGATCGCAGCCGTCCTGCCGGCTTCGCGGTGGGCGAGTGGAACCGGCGCTCCAAACCATCGCAAAGCCTCCGCGACCTCAGGGTCTGGATTTTGTGATGACGCAGCGATAAAGCACCAACCCCACAAGATCCACAATTAATGGGGAGGGGGGGGTTCGCCATAGACACGGGGTATCGGGTGCTGATGTTATCTGATGTGCCAACCCGAGTTTTTGAGCCTTTCAGGCTGTAACTGATCTGAAATGCATCCCAGTTAACTGTTGCCGTGCACACACAGCACACTCCTCAGCTCAAGGCTCGACTGTGTCTGCTTGCCCACTCCCTGCTTTGAGCCATGTTTCAGTGCCTGTTGCTGGTTTCTGTTTGTTTTTTTGCATGTTTCCTTGTAGGTTGATCACATGTTTGTTTCATTAGAGTGTCTGCAGGTAAAGTACATAATAATAATAATTAGGTGTGTTTAGTTGTTTAAAACCTGCAGATGCATCACTGTCAGTAATGTTTACATATATAAATATACATAACTACATGAGCTGATCCTGGATCAAGCTGTTGAAGTGGAATGCTGTTTAAACTGCCTGTGTATGTGTCAAAACCTGCATTGTTTGCGCTCCACTGCCTCGGTGCATCTTTAATCCTGTTGTTGTCTCACTGCACAGGGATGCACAGTAGAGTTAGCATGTGTCTTGATTTGTTGCATTTGACTGTGACTCCTCTGCCTCAGCCTCCCCCTGCTCTGGCCTGCAGCCTGCTTCTTGGAGTCTCTTCCCCCCATGTGCGTGTTGGTATACACACTTCACCTGCCTGTCCACCCACCCACACCCACCCACCCACTGGCTCACTCACAAGCAAGCGTTTGCACACATTTTATATTTTCTGTCACAAATTTTAAATATTTATTGTCAAGTTTTAATCCTTAAGATTTCAGTCCTGGTTGATTTGAGAGTGTTAGCAGCAGGTTTAATACGACAGTCAGCAGATTTCTGCGAGCAGCGAGCTGGAGAACTCACTGTCAGCTTTACCCACTGTGACAGATGCACTGCATTTTGTAGGCCTGCTTCACAGTAAACACAACCTCATGGTTTGTCACCTTAATGCTTGCAAAGAAATGCTCTTTTCTTTATCTAATCTCTAGTTTTTTAACCTTGTGGAGATGCACACGTGTTCTCCAGGACCCTGTGACATTGCCGTTGTGTGTTTTTGTGGTTTAAACGTGCAGGAATTTGCTTCATCTCTGGTTGTTTTTAACCACGCTTCATGAATAAAACTAGTCTGACTTTGATTACAGATGCAACAAAGCACAGCGCTACGTTTCAACCTGTTGTTTAGCCACTCTTTAATGTGCAGCAGTGGCAGTAAGTTTGAGAGTAAACCAGTGAGGTAGAAATGTCCAAAAGCAGCGCTGAATCACACGCTGCATCGAGTCCTGTAATCCCTCATGTGTAGGCAGGAGGTTAGAGTCTCATGCCACAAACTACTGTCTGTCAAAAACCAGGTTTAATATTCTGAAAATCTTAAGGATTCTAACTTTTCTCATGAAGGAACACATGCTTATTTAAAAGTTAGTAAATATTCTGCAGTATTTCTTATTGCACAGTTTCTTTCATTGAGCATATTTCATCACTTTGCATTTTTCTTTGTACAGTTTTTACACACTCAAAGTCCCCAAAGTACACAAAGTTGTTCTGTTCTCTAACTTGAAGTGCTTCTCTCCCTCTGCTGATTCTCTCATGTCTCCATCATCCATCCATCCAAATGTCTGTTGGTCCATCTGTCCATCGGGATGCATGCAGACTTGGAGATGGAGAGTGTAATACAGGACAGTGCATGGGTGGCCGACCCGCTAAACCACTACAGCCTAAGTTCAGGTAGACGAAAACCTCTTGGTGTGTTGCACCGCCACCCACTAACTAGAAAACTAATTCCTCACCCTCAACTGATGTGTTTGCATTGTGTAGCTTTAACACAGCTAGCCTGCGTCTCTGTCACAGTAGGCTTGAACTGGGAGCGTATTATGGGTTATAGCTTCACCCCTCACACTGAAAACCCCCCGTGCACTTTGTGGTGTTGCGTCGGTGGAAGAAGAAGTTTCACAGCCTCATAAATTGTCCTGTCAGTGACCTTTAACACACTTGTCCGCATAATCTCCACATTCTGTTCTTGGACTAATCAGCCTTTAGCCACATCTCGTTCTGCTGCAACAGTGGAGCATGGAAAACCCAGCACACGTCTTTTTCCACTGTTTGTGTATAAACTGCCTTTCAGCTGCTGAATGAAAGGGTCTGTGTCACGTAAAGAACTCCAGTGTTTTCCTTTAAGTTTGTCACAGTGACTTCTGTTCTTTCTTCTTTCTAAACCCCTCTGACCACGTGAATGTGTCGTGGATGTGTTGTAGATTTGTCTGGATGAGCGTCGCTGTGCCTGTTTTGCATGCTATCTGTTTGTACAACAGAACACAAATACTGTACATTAATAAGTGCTGTGAATAGATGTGGTACCCCACTTTTCAAACCCGCTCTCAAAAGAGAACAGTTTTATCCCTCCAGCCCTCTGTTCTTTCATCTGTTGTGGCCCCTCAAGGTGTATGCAAATGACTTGAGGGGTGATCCAGGTTACTACAGCATTCCTCAGAGCGGCTGAATGTAGCCTGTGTCTGGATGAGGGCCAGCTGTGTTTGTGTGTGTCTGTTTGGTTGAAGCTGAAAGGCCACGGCAGGGGTGCCGTGGTGCTAGGTCTCGACCGGCCTTGATTTATTTAATCCTTTTACAATGAGGGGGCCTGTAAACCCATCCATTGAGCGTTAAGCTTTGTCCTGCAACAGTAAGAATCTCTGTCTGTCTCTCCATGGTGACTGAAAGAGCACATTCCTGCAGGGAGCCACACAGCACTGGAAAAATATGCTTGCTCTGGCTAGATGTGCTCTGCTCACCACTAACCTTTGCTGCTTCCCAGTAAAACGATGGAAATTGTTAACATGCTGTACTGCTCCAGTTTAAATCAGGACCATACAAGTGAGGAGCTCATGGTCCTTTGCTCAATGTGCTTGTATGGCGTTGCAGTGGAGGCTGGAGTCCACCTCCTGAACAGTAAAAATACTCTTTTGTTGACATCAGTTTGAAAACAAAGAGTTGAGGACTTTTGATAAATCCTGATGGTCAGACTTGTTTCCCCCCCAGACTCCCCAGTAGACGTGGCCCAGATGTAGAGGCCGCCCCCCTCGGTTCCCCTCGGTTCAGGCTTCGTCATGTCTGGGGACCTGTGATTTGGGCAGCTGTGAGCATACATGAGCCAAGACAGCTGGTTATATGAGGCAGAGAGGAAGGGAAACGGGGAGAGAATGTGTGAGACAGAGTCAGATCTGTCCTCCTGTTCCTCAGGATCTCACATCATTTCCTGATACTGTGAGACTGACTGAGATCCCTTGTGTAGCGTGTTGCTGTAGACTGAGCCTTTGTTGGAGGGGGGCTACTTCTGATTATATATGAGCACCTCATGCTAACTTAGCAGGTGTGTGTAAAGCAGACGGATCATTTGCTCCTGTCATGTGAACTGATAAACAGAAAGAAGAATCTGTGGTTGTGTTACGCTGTACTCACGCTGAACTGTGTCGCGTCATTATTGTGACCTGCACGGTGTCTCGTTACAGAAACCAGTTTCTCACATTAACTGTGTTTTTGCAATACACACCGGCATTTAACCAGCAGGCAGGCATTTCTATTTACTGCTACGTTTAGGTTTCAAACAGCATGACATTTTGCCCCTGTGGCATTCATTTCCTCCTCCTCCACATACCAGCAGTCAAACAGAATATAAACATACATGCAAAATACCAGCTGATGTTCTGACACCGAGCTCCTGTCCTGGTGCATGGCAGAAGATAGCGGAGCAGGAACCTGCCACTTCCTGTCCTCCAAGGGAAAACTCACAAATACATATTTGGTCACCACTGAGTTCTAACCGTGATGTGAGTTTCTGTTTTGTCATCAAGGAAAATATTATGATATAGAGCTGTTTATTTCAGAGAAAAAGATTTTCACAAAAACACAAAACAGATCCTAAAAGCAAATCTTAGGATGTGTGTTTGCTGCTTGCTGCATTCACTGGACTCTGGCTTCGTCATCTCTGGCCTGTAGAGTTTGTCAGCATTCTTACGACGTGTAAATGACTGAAGTCACAGAAAACAGCTGAGACGCTTTGTGTCAGTCCAGACAGACTTCAGGAAATGTTCTGCTGCACTGCCTCAGATTTTCTTCACTTTACTTGTTGTGTGGAACCCAATACGAAGTGCTGTAACATATTGTTAGTTGTGTTTTTTGTTATCAGACCTGGGAATGTTGTTCCACCCTCATAGAAATGTCTGACCCACCATTTTACGGTTTCAGTGTCTCCACAAATGTAACTCCCACAGCTGCAAGCTTGCAGATACAAATGATTGAATATCTCCAGCAGAGGCCAGTGCCTTTAATTATTGGCCCCTTACAAAAGAAAGAAGGAGCAACATTTTCAATTAGGGTCAGAATAGAGGCTCCAGAAATAAAGTGTGCGTACACCACTGGACAGACGCCGTCCCTGTCTGAATGAATGGACAGAGAACCCAAACCATAATGTCCCCGGGACATAAAAACTGCATGTATGCAATCAGAAGTTTGATCATGTTGCTCCACAATAAGAAGTATAGTTCAGCACAGGTGATACCCTGAGCTTCAATAATACAGTTTCACACACAAACAAAAGGAAAACTGTATAAATGAAATGCTTTGTTTGTTGGGCACCAGCTGAACCCTCTGGAGTACACTTGGAGCTCACTGTTGTCTCTGAGGTTTGAATGAATCATTGTAAATGAATGTTTTATAAGGATTTCCTAGATGGTCTGTTGTCCCAAAGGTCAGCTATCTATCATCTATCTGCTACCATGTCTGTCAAACTGCTTCTCATTGCTCCAACAGTGTCAGCAAAGTTGTTTTTAATTGGTTTACTTTTGAAGGTATCACACAGCAAACATATAAAAATAAAGGTGATTAGAGGAGAGAAAACTTCACCCCCACTGGATCCTGTTGTTTTCTTGTTAGAGCTCCTCGTGATCATTTCAGAAACAAGCTGCTGATAGGTGGGTTAGGGTTTACATGTCTGTACTTTCACGGTGATTTTCTGCCGTGAGGAGTTCGTGTCTGATGTGATACGATGGCAGAAACTATTTTATAGAGCATGACATTACATGCACATGAAAGAAGGGCAGTGGGGCAAATGGACTGTGCAAATCTACTTTATTGCATGAATACACGTGCATTCAAAGTCCTGCTTCAAGGACGCAGTCATTATCAGCAGAGTGTAAGAATGTAAAGACAGAAACACTCGCTGCAGGAAAATGCTCCTTGTGACTGATAAACATGATGGTAGTATGTAGTTAGTACCAGTTTACTAATGTGTTTACATCGTTTTACTGCTAATTTACACTTTAAGGAGGAGCTAAACTGACTTCCTGTTGCAGGGTGTAGTTACGGTGGTTTTCAACATGAGGTTCAGGTCCCCTGAACGGGTCACAAGATCGTCGTGAGGAGAGGAGAAAGACAAACTGAGGCTCTGTTACACAAATGTGTGTTTATCATCTGGACTTTACGTTGAACTTTGCACTTCTGTTGAAACGCTGTAGCTGGATGTCGGTTATGAACATACAACCATGTGGGAGGTGAAGTGGAAATCCCTGCTGAAGAGCCCAGACATCTGAGAGGTGATGTCAGAAGTTACTGTCATGTGCTTCATAATGACACCAGCACACAAAAACTTTACTGAACTGTAGTTGAGTCAAAGTGTAACGTAGCATAAAAACGGAAGAGTACATTAAAGTACTAGTAGTTTAAAGTAGTACTTGAGTAAATGTGCTGCAGTCGGCTGAAAGCGATCACATGCAGTGGAAGAGTCTGACCGCAGTCCTGTGACTCTGGACCAGCAACAAATTACTCTGACTTTGTTTTGACTCAACATGTCTGCATGGGGACTGAGCTCGTTAAGGAATTAATAAGATAATGCTTTTAGGGGGCCAAGGGGCTCTTCAGAGGGGAGAGCTGGCTTAAAGTCAGTGCTGCTAGGTTACCATCGTTTAGCGTAAGCTGGACTGAATCAGTGTGACAGTGGTCTTCTAGGGGTCAATCAGTCAGCCTGTCCTCCCCGCTGACACCAGAGCAGTCGGAGCTCTGCTTGATTTGTCGGCGTGGGAGGTCGTGGAAATGAGTCCTGACAGCAGCCAGAGGGAGATCTGATCAGGGAGGAGAAAACAAGAATAGAGCGCAGATCATTTTTAACATTACTGTGAAACTGCATATCAGCACAGCTTTTCAGCTCCACCTAATCCAGTCTCAAGGGTGTGTGACAGTTTTATTTAAACCCTGTATAAGCAGACAATTACACACTTAGTCTATTCACACAAGTATACGATTACAAACGAAGCATTTATTTTTCATTACAGTGAATAAGCGTGGTGGCCCTGCTGCTTGTTAGGAGTCTGTGTTTGTGCAGTTTTTCCACCAGCTCCTCTCTTTGCTTCTGGACTTCCGTGTTGCCTTTACATGGCGTTGGAACTTTTGCGATGTCGCACAGTTGTGAGCTATAACCTGCAGGCAGGAGTGTCCAGTGTTTAAATGAAGAGAAGATGAAACAAGTGATGGCCAGGAGGGATATTTTCTTGGTTTTGCTCTCAGTCATAAAGACTTGATATAAAAATTCTTTCTGTTGAACTCGGAGCGTTTTTAAGCCTCTTTCAGACGTGCTTTCCTGTCATGAATCTCACGACATCCAGACATTTCAGCGTCACGTCTGAATGAGCGCTCTGCCATCAGGACTTTTACAGAAAGTGAGCAATCTGACTGCGTTT